GAGGCAGTGTTTAGGAGCGAGAATTCTTAGACTGCCTGGGTTTTAATCTCAGCTCTGCAGCTTAGGAGCTGCCTCAGTTTCCCCACATGTAAAAAGGGAACACTGGTAGTACCCACTTCATAGAGGTCTGGGGTGAAGTGAGTTAATATTGGTAAAGGGCTTAGTTAGATTGGAGCCTGGCACGTACGTTCTACAAATGTTCAAATGTATTAAGAGAACAGGAGGTCAGAGGTAGTTGAAGCTATTAGTTGAGTCTGTGGTTTTTGATGGTGATGATATTATTGTGGTGAAAAGATTTTCAGGGGCTCCTGGGGGGCTCATTTGGTTAACCATTTGCCTTCAGTACAGGTCATGATCTCAGGGTGGTGGGACCGAGCCTCACAACCGCTCCCTGCTCAGCAGGGAGTCTGCTTCTCCTTCCCCCTCCATGCCCCCACTCTTGTTCTTTATCTCAAATAAGCAAGATCTTTTAAAAAAAAGAGGGGGGGGTTTCACACCTAGAGGTGGCCACCTGGGTTCTTAGCTCTTGTTACTGGGATTGGTTTCTAGACCTAGTGAACAAATGACAAATTTTAGGAAAGGAGGTCATCCTGACTTAATACTTAATTCCTTGCTAGTTTTATTTTTGTTTAATTTTTTATTGTGAAACTTTAAAATATACCCAGTTCCCATGTCCAGTCCTTTAATTTTTAAAAATTTTTTTTTAAAGATTTTATTTATTTATTTATTTATTTGACAGAGATCACAAGTAGGCAGAGAGGCAGGCAGAGAGAGGAGGAGGAAGCAGGCTCCCCGCTGAGCAGAGAGCCCGATGTGGGGCTCGATCCCAGGACCCTGGGATCATCACCTGAGCCGAAGGCAGAGGCTTTAACCCACTGAACCACCCAGGCGCCCCCATGTTCTGTCCTTTTAAATCTTTGCTGTTCTTGTTTGCCTTCACAGGCTGGTGGTAGTGGTCACTGTGGCTCTGAGACACTGCCCAGCCTTTGTCAGGGCTGAAGCAAGCCTCCTAGAGCCTTCCCGGAGCTGGAGATTCATTCCCTCATCTTGCCTGTAATTTCTGGTTTATCAGCCCAGAGGATCGGGTTGCACAGAAAGATAATGGGCCTTAATGAGCACCTGGAAATTCAAGTTAGGGTTCCACACACTTCTTTGTCACTTCTCAAAGGGTGGGGCTTAGCCACCATTAAGACAAGATGCCCCAAACAGGTTAAGCACCTTGGATCAAAGTTATTTGCAAAACCATTTTCAGTTTTTCAGGCTCCCGCCCTCTGGACAAGTCTAGTCCTGCTTGTCCCAACTTTCACTGCGCTGATTGGGGCCAGCTGGGGGAAGGAATTAATTTGTTGTGATAAGCAGGGGCAGCTCTTGCTCCCTGTTTATGTGACAACCCCCAGATCCTCCAGACTCACCCCATTGCTTCTGCTGAGATGGGTTTGGAGGGAGGGTTATTTGAAAAACATCTTGTTTTGCTGGTTTGAGATGGAATTCTTATGTTTGACATAAAAGACAGTATCTGCCCATCCTTGAAGGACTTCGCATTTCTTCTTGCTTCTCTTGTCATTTTATGGTTTCTCTGCTCGTTTAGCAGATACTTGACTTGTGGCAAATACTTCAGGTTTGTCTACCCAAATGCACTGGAATGATAATTATCATTTTCTACTCGCGTTGCTCTTCCACATTCAAAATGTGATCACATTCACTGCCTCTGTTAATCTTCACAAAAACCCTGAAGAGGTAGGCTCCATCAGTGATGGTGACTGAGGCCCAGAGAAGTTAAGCATGTTGTTTAAGGCCACTCAGCAGAACATGGTGGGATCTGGGCTTATTATTTGGCCACAAGACTCAGACTGGCTCTTTCTTCTTGTCCCTCTTCCTGTTATTTACTGCAGCCTTCCCCTGCTCACCCCACCCTCACCCCTTCAAGTTTGGGATGTGGAGTTAATAAAACCAGAATTAGGGGCGCCTGGGTGGCTCAGTGGGTTAAAACCTCTGCCTTCAGCTCAGGTCATGATCTCAGGGTCCTGGGATCAAGTCCCACATCGGGCTCTCTGCTCGGGGGGGAGCCTCCTCCCGCCCCCACCCCGCCTGCCTCTCTGCCTACTTGTGATCTCTGTCTGTCAAATAAATAAATAAAATCTTAAAAAAATAAATAAATAAAAATAAAACCAGAATTAGGAGTGAGGGTAGGGGTGAAGGCATGGTTTTGATTTTTGCTTTTGCAAACAGTGGGGAGAGAGGGTTGGGTGGGTGATTGTTTGAAGGACCCAGCTCCCTTCCTGTGAACTCTCTGTTTGTTCGGCCAGGTAGCGACTCCAGCACAAGGTGGCCCCAGATTTCCCTGGATTCTAGCTAGGAGGCCAAACCATTCTTCCAAATAACCAAGGCCTGACAAGGTCTCTTCAGGGCAGCGGACTGTAATCGTGACACTGAGTAACTCAGGTTGAGGGCCAGTCCCCGCTCTGCCCCTCACCTGGTTTTCGGATGTCAGGCAAATTTCTTAACCTCTCCTCGCCTTAGTCTTCAAAAGGGAATGATGATGGTGGTGCTCACCTTGTCAACGCAGTCACTGGCTTCTCCAGCAAGGGTGGGGCTGTTGGCTTCAGAAACATTTGCAAGGGTGGCCCCTGGTGGAAAAAATGGAAAATTGCAACCCAGGTATGGAGGATGGTTGTAGGACTTTGTGGCAGAGACCTGATACTCATGAATGGAGAAGTGTCTGGCTGTGTTAAAATAGATTGAAGAGGAGGAATTTTTATAAAAGATCACTTGGACAGAATAGAAATTCCACTGGAGAAATGAAGGGCAAGTATTTGAAAAGGATGAGAACAGGCCACTTTGAGAGTTTTGCGGAGCGAACTGTTTTTTTTTTTTTTTTTTTTTTTTTTTTTTAAAGATTTTATTTATTTATTTGACAGAGATCACAAGTAGACGGAGAGGCAGGCAGAGAGAGAGGGAAGCAGGCTTCTCGCCGAGCAGAGAGCCCGATGTGGGACTCGATCCCAGGACCCTGAGATCATGACCTGAGCCGAAGGCAGCGGCTTAACCCACTGAGCCACCCAGGCGCCCCCGGAGCGAACTGTTTTAATTGGCTGTTCTCTCTGCCTCTTGGGCCCCTGAGACAGGTTTCTGCAAGACTTGCCCCTTCAGATCTCAGCTCTGCCACCTCCACCAAGGGAGGTCTGTGCTCACCATCCAGTATGAGTCACACCTTTCTGAATCCCCTTGTCCCATCATTTCTTCATCATCATCTTCTAATTTTAATTTTTAAAAAATACATGCCATGCTCAGCTTGGAGCCCAACATGAGGTGCGACATGGGGCTTGAACTCACGACCTTGAGATTAAGACTTGAGCTGAGGGGTGCCTGGGTGGCTTATTTGGTTAAGCATGCAACTCTTGATTTTGTCTCAGGTCATGATCTCAGGGTCCTGGGATCGAGCCCCACGTCAGGCTCCATGCTCAGCACAGAGTCTGCTTGTCCCTCTCCCTCTGCTCCCCCCCCCCCGTCTCTCTCTCAGATAAATAAATAAATAAATGAATGAATCTTAAAAACAAACAAATAAACAAATAGGATCTGAGCTGAGATCAAGAGCCAGATGCTTAACCTACTGAACCACCCAGTTGGCCCCCACCTCCCCATCATTCTTGTATCACTGTCTTTAATTTCTTTATATCTGTCACTCATCACTACCTGAAGTTACTGATTTCTGTATTTGTTCATATCTTCCACGACAGTGTAAGCTCAGTGAGAGCAGGTGCATTGTCGGTCTTGTTGACAAGCTTGTCTCTAGAGTTCAGCACAGTTTCTGGCATTTGGCTTGGTGAACCCTGTACAATGAGTTCTTGGGGATTCTGCTGTTTAGTGTAAACATTTTTCATCACAACATCTCCAGCTTTGGGTATTGATTGGTAGTTCTTACGTTTCAATACATTGATAGCTATAAAGTTTGAAGTAGAGTTTTGAAATCGTTGGTCATAACATTGCCCCACCCAAGCAGTCCTTCTCTCTCTCTCTCTGTTTCTTTTAATCCTTCTCTGTCTTCTGCATTTATTTGCTGCCCTGTGTGATCAGGTTGAAGATAACTCATTATCTCCCCTACCCAGATGATCAGTTTCGCTTCCCCCAGCTGATTGCAAGCAGGCATTACCTCCGGATGCTTCAGGTAATAAGCACATAGTCAGCACTCCCTGCGTATTTGGGGTGATCAGTGTCTTTTGTGGAATACTCATGAGGGTTGAATAAATGATTAAGCAAAGCCACATTTGTTTTTAAAGGTTTTTTTCTTTTTTTTTTTTTAAGATTTTATTTATCTAGAGAGTATACATACGTGCACGCTAGTAGCGGGGAGGGGTAGAGGGAGAGAGAATCTCGGTCTCAGGGGAGTCGCTCTTGTTGCCTTCGTTCTGTAGTTGGGTAGTCTGAGGCGCAGGGAGGTTAAGTACTTTTTCTAAGGTCACAGAGTTAATAATAAGCAGAGCTGGGACTTGAACACAGGTACTCTCTTCCTCTCTTAAGCATCCTGCCATGTGCCTCTCTTTTATTATCTGCCACTGTTTATTGAAATGTAAACTCTTACTTGAATGTAGACCCTCCACAACGTCTCACTGTACCTTAGTCTCTAACCTTTGAACTTCGTAAGTATTCTCTTTGATTCCGCGGTCTGTTTTCATGTTGTCAGGAGCCAGCTGAAGGAGAGGCCCCTTTTTGGCTTTTGAAAAAAAGTTACTTTCTAAACAGGTTACTGTTTGCATTTTACAAGCAGCTAAGAAAGAAATGAGACCATGTTTAACAGTCCCCCTGGGATGCTGAGCAACATCATAACGATATTGGGGACTTTGCCATCTTTCTGTTCTGTCCCCACACTGGGGTTGTTTTGCTTGTGTTTGTTTTGTGTGTGTCAGGCTTTTGGTGGGTAAACCAAGTTCACTTTAGAGAGAAGGGATGCTCTTGTCTCGACGCTGCCCCATTTCCTAATCCCTGTGATTGATGCCCCACAGTGAGTTTTGAAGGATGCACTGGCCGGCCAGGGACGGCCTACAATGCTGATGACACGCGATTCAAAGTGAACGCAGATGGTGTGGTGACTGTCAAGCGACCTCTACAACTTCATAAACCGGAGCTGAGTTTTCTGGTCCACGCCTGGGACTCCAGCCGCAGGAAGCTCTCTGCCAGAGTCACGCTGAAGGCAGCCGAGCACCGTGACCACCATCACCGCCACCACCATCATGTATGTTGGTTTCTTAGAAGTTCACTCTTGTTTTAAGTCTGTTGCCCAATCTGACTTCTCTGCCATTTGCACCTTTCGCATTTGGGGCTGGATAGTTTTTCTTGTGACATTCAGCAGCCTCCCTGCCTTTAGCCCACTGAACAGATACCAGTAGCACTCTCCTCGTCATCACAACCAGAAATGTCTCCAGGCATGGCCAGTGCTGGTGGGGGGTGTTGTGGAATCCCCCTAGTTGAGACTGTTGGTTTCACTGAACTAATTCTATTTTTTGTCTTTTTTTTAAGATTTTATTTATTTGACAGAGACCACAAGTAGGCAGAGAGAGAGGCAGGCAAAATGAGAGGGGGAAGCAGGCTCCCCACTGAGCAGAGAGCCCGACTCGGGGCCCAATCCCAGAATGCTGAGATCACAACCCGAGCCGAAGGCAGAGGCCCAACCCACTGAGTCACCCAGGCGCCCCTGAACTAATTCTTGCTGGGAATTTTTTTGTGTTTGGGTGGGGAGGGATCAGGTGGAATGACGGCAAGGTGTTAATCATCTTTCTGTCCGTAATAGAAAATAGTGGGTAAGAATGTGGACACTGTCTGGGATTGAATCATAATCCTGCCACTCACTACCTGAGTAGCTGGAGGAGAGTTCACTTAAGGAATTTCAATCACAAAGAGGTTACCTGTAACGTGGAGAAGAGTGACTGCAGGAATTAATACATGTGAAATGCTGTAATATGTTAGGCATACACTAAGTACTCAGTAATTGCTCATTTTCTTAGAGGAAGAATGAATAAGAGATCTATTCTCTGATCATTCTATTATTTTTATTGCTTTAATACTTAGATAACATTTTTTTTTCTATCTTTTTTTTTTCCATTTCATTTTACTCTTTGTGTTTCTACTGGGGAGGGTCTTGGGATGGGATGAGAAAAGTCAGCAGGAAGCTTTTGTTCCGTTGGACTGTAATCTGCAGGAGATCCTTCCCTGTTGTATTTGTGGTGCCTGTCCCACAGCCGGGCATGCACTAGGAACCCTGTAAATACTGAATGGACAGATGGGTGAATAGGCCATGAATGAAAGGATATATATCTGCCCAGTTCTCGGCAACAGTGTTTCTGGGTATTGTTACCCAAGCAGACACCTTTGCTAGTTTCTAAATTGTTCCCATCGTGCTTCCTACCAGAATGTCTTTCTGGAGGTCGTTCTAGTTGTATTCTGGTACTGCCTTAAAAATACAGAACATGTTGGAAGTACCAAAGTCTTTAAGGCTGGCTTCTGTTTTTCTCCCCAAAGGTAGTTGAGATGCAGGAGTTTAATAGTCTTGATAGATACATTCTTTTCTCCCAGATCTACCTCTTTTCTGGTAGACCAGAAAAATGAAGAACTTAGTAGCAGTTTATTAACATAGCTCCTTGACTCAAGTCTCCAGTTGATTCCATCATTTATGTAAGTTCAGCATGGTGAGTTATTGCTGGACCACTGTGTGTGGAAGGCTCCTATGACCAAAAGATAAGTTTTGAGCTTGGTTTTTTCAAACTTTTCCTCCCTATTTCTGCCAGTTTTGCCTCTGCCTCTCTTTTTGTTTTATCATGATGAGGTTCAAATGCATATTATAGAAAATGATGAATGAGAGTGCCTTATTCAAAATGGAGTATTTCTTCGTTAAGTTGAAGAAATTCAAGGGTAAGTTGTGGCAGTATGGAGACCCTACAGTCATTAGGAGCCTAGATTACTCTTTTCCTTTCTATTCTGCCATCCTTAACATATGGCTTCCATCCTCAAGGGGACCGCGTGATCCAAAATGGCTGCTGGTGCTCTAGTCATCAAATCTTCATTCTAGATGGTAAGGAGAAAGGAAGAAAGCGAACAAAAGCATCACTCAGTTGTCTGCCTGCCTTTTTAAAGAAGTCTTTATGGAATTCATTTTTAAAAGATTAAAAAAAAAATGAATCTCTACATCCAACATGTGGCTTGAACTTAGAACTCTGAGATCTAGCGTTGCTTGGCCTTGTAACTGAGGTAGCCAGGCACTCACTTTGCGGATTTTTTTTTTTTAAGTCATTTGTTTGACTGAGAGATAGCAAGAGAGCACAAGCAGGGGGAGCAGCAGGCAGAGGGAGAAGGAGAAGCAGGCTCCCCATGGAGCAGGGAGCCTGATGCAGGGGCTTCCCAGGACCCTGATATCATGACCTGAGCTGAAGGCAGATGCTTAACTGGCTGAGCCACCAAGGCATCCTGTCCCAGTTCCCCCCACCCCCACCATCTTTGTGGAATTCTTAAGCAAATAAGGCTTATATCTCATTGGTTGGAACTTGACCTCATGGCCATACCTAGCTGTAAATGCAGTAAAGAAAACGTACTCTCTTACTTGAACACAGTGCTGGATACAAAACTATCTATATAGAGAGATCTATATGGAGAGGGACAGGTATAGATACTTCGGGGTTTGTTCATTTTTAAATAAGAAAGGGAGAATGGATATTGAGTGGTATGTGGCAACATAGCTGCTGAGGTTCACTTTGGTTCGTTTCTAGTTCAAGAGACCCTGTGGGTCCTGCATTAGGAGAAGGGGTAGTGGGAGGCGCTGGACTGGCTCAGTTGGTAGAGCATGCAACTCTTGATCTTGGGGCTGTAAGTTCAAGTGCCATGTTGGGTGTAGAAATTACTTTAGGGCGCCTGGGTGGCTCAGTGGGTTAAACCCTCTGCCTTCGGCTTGGGTCGTGATCCCAGAGTCCTGGGATCTAGCCCCATGTTGGGCTCTCTGCACAGCGGGGAGCCTGCTTCCCTTCCTCTCTATCTGCCTGCCTCTCTGCCTACTTGTGATCTCTGTCAAATAAATAAATAAAATTAAAAAAAAAAAAAGAAAAAGAAATTACATTAAAATCTTTAAAAAAAAAAAAAAAGGAAGGGTGACACTCCCACTTCTTTAATTCATATGAAATACATAGATCTTTTTTTTTTTTTTTAAAGATTTTATTTATTTATTTGACAGAGAGAGATCACAAGTAGACAGAGAGGCAGGCAGAGAGAGGGAGGGAAGCAGGCTCCCCGCCAAGCAGAGAGCCCGATGCGGGACTCGATCCCAGGACCCTGAGATCATGACCCGAGCTGAAGGCAGCGGCTTAACCCACTGAGCTACCCAGGTGCCCTGAAATACATAGATCTTAAATATATCAAAATATGCTATGTACTATGTATATAAATATCTACACACAGGGGCTCCTGGGTGGCTCAGAGGGTTAAAGCCTCTGCCTTCAGCTCAAGTCATGATCCCAGGGTCCTGGGATCGAGCCCCGCATCGGGCTCTCTCCTTGGTGGGGAGCCTGCTTCCTCCTCTCTCTCTCTGTCTGCCTCTCTGCCTACTTGTGATCTCTCTCTGTCGAATGAATAAATAAAATCTTTAAAAAGAAAAAAAAAAATATCTACACACACAGTTTTTGTCAGTTACGCTTTTTAACTTTCTGGTTTTTTAATCTTTGGGTAGATTTTCTCAGTCTGGTATGATTTTTTTCTGAGGGACGAATTCCATGCTCAGTATGTTTAGGCATGGTTCTCTTTAACATCCCATGAAGATATTAATATTCTCTTGCCAGTGTTCATCATTTCTTTATTCTTTTTCTCTGAAAATACTCCGCAGTTCTGATCTCAGCAACACGTGCCCTTTGTCTTCCTCTTCAGTGTGGCAGATGAACCTGGGTTCATGCACTGATGCTGTACACTCAGTGGCTGTGCGAGATGGCCCTGTTTAGGCTTAGGATACATTTGCAGACAGTCCTTGGAAGACTTTGTTCCTGGGCTGTATCTAATCCCAAACTCACATCCATTAAAACCACAGCTCAGTGTTTGCCAACCTAACTGTCATTATGACCATTTGTTGAGCATTTATATGTTTCAGGAGCTATTATTTTTTTTTAATATTTATTTGACAGGCAGAGCAACAGGCAGAGAGAGAGGAGGAAGCAGGCTTCCCGCGGAGCAGAGAGCCCGATGTGGGGCTCGATCCCAGGACTCTGGGATCATGACCTGAGCCGAAGGCAGAGGCTTAACCCACTGAGCCACCCAGGCGCCCCTCAGGAACTATTCTAAGTGCTTTATTTGCAATACTAGTAGCTCATTTAATCCTTCCAATGATACCCCATATTAGGGAACTGTGGAACAGAGTAAAACAGTGTCCCCCGGAGTTGTAAATGCCATAGTGAGGATTCACAGATAGGCATCCTGGTTCTGCGGCTTGCCATTGACTCAGGAGGGACTACTTCTCTGGAATATCAATAATCCAAGGACGTAGAGAGAGAGAGAGAGAGAGAGAGAGAGTGAGAGTGTATGTGTGTATAAAACCAATACGTAGGAATGCAGTACTGGGAAGGATTCTGAGATGATATCTCATCTTAACTCATGTCTGTCTTGTGCATTTTTAAAAATTTGTATTAGCAGAACTATATAGAAAAAAAATTGTTCTGCTTAAGGCATACTTGGGAATAAACCACTGTACAAATTATTGCACATCTGAAACCACAGTGCATAACAGACTGCATAAAAATACTTGTTTTGTTTTCTTTAAAGATTTTATTTGTTTATTTGACCTGGGGGGGAGACAAAGGGCACACAAGCAGGGGGAGTGGGAAAGGGAGAAGCAGGCTTCCCGCCAAGCAGGGAGCCCGATGTGGGGCTTGATCCCAGTCATGACCTGAGCCAAAGGCAGATGCTTAAGGACTAAGCCACCCAGGCGCCCCTCTGCATAAAACTGTTAAAGAAGTAAACCAGGTGTATTTACCTGACTTAGGTCATAAATGTAGGTTGAAAGACAAAACAAGATTTTGCTTGTCGAAGTATGCAGCAGTTTGAGAACTTGGGCTTCCTCATTTGATGCCTTTAGAACCAAGACTCACCAGGCACCATCATTTATGCTATTAAAAACCCATTTTCTGTACATGAATTCCTTCCTCTTCTTCTAATATCATCATAATGGCTTTTAGAAGGCAAAGAGTACAAGGTGATCTTTGTACTTACATTGCATCGAAACACAATTCAAAGGAATTCTGGTCTTCCCCCCCCCCCCCCCCCAACTCATGGCTCTAATTTAAACCCTGATAGCCACACCTTCAGTCACAAACTTGGTGTGTTGTTTTTTTTTTTTTAAGATTTTATTTATTTGCCAGAGAGAGAGAGAGCAAGCGAGTACACACAAGCAGGCAGAGAGGCAGGCAGAGGCAGCGAGAGAAGCAGGTTCCCTGCCGAGCAAGGACCCCAATGTGGGACTCGATCCCTGGACCCTGGGATCATGACCTGAGCCGAAGGCAGCGGCTTAACCCACTGACCCACCCAGGCGTCCCAACTTGGTGTTTTTTAAGTCCAGGAATATTCAAGTTGGATTTAGCATTGGAATGATAGAAGACCCAGTCACAGACCTCATCGGTTCTTTGATTTGTCTTCTGGTGTCCTTGTGTCTCCCGATTATCTATTCACAAGTTGGCTTGTTGGGAACTTGTCCATGGTTATAGTGCTTTCCAACTGGGTTCCTCCCTTCCCCTGGGGAAGAAGGGGGTACGGTTTAAAAGGTTAAAAAATACATATATAGGGGCACCTGGGTGGCTCAGTCGTTAAGCGTCTGCCTTCGGCTCAGGTCATGATCCCAGGATTCTGGGATCGAGCCCCGCATCGGGCTCCCGGCTTGGTGGGAAGCCTGCTTCTCCCTCTCTCACTCCCCCTGCTTGTGTTCCTTCTCTCGCTGTGTCTCTCTGTCAAATAAATAAATACAATATTAAAAAAAAAAAATACATATATATACTGAATTCTCTACTGGTATGGTGGGGCACATCCACCCTTCTGGGCTTTAAAAGTGCCTCTTCGTGTGTAAGGTGAGGTGGTCCCACTTGGAGAAGGTCCAGTTGCACTTCGGCCCTAGGAGGGTCAGTGCCCGATGTGTTTACCATGATGCCTGGTCAGTTTGTCCGAGCGGACACATTTCCATCCGCAGCCGTCAGTCAGGTGGTAGGGCTTCTCAGCTGTGTGGGTTTGCAGGTGTGCCTTGAGGTGAGGACTCTTCATGTAGGTTTTGCCGCAGCCTACATAATCACAAATGTGAGTGGCTGTCCTTTTCCGGGGCCACAACCTTCTTCCCCTCTTTGGTATCGGCTCCTGTGGCTTGCAGGAACCAGGGGGCATGAGCTCTTGGTAATGGAGCCGTGGGACCTATGGCTGCATCTGGTCTGGCCAGAAGGGTGGATAGTTGGGCCCTGGATGGGGATGAAAGCCCAGGGGGAGCTGTAGGACAGTATGATAGTCCCTGCGGCTCGGCAGTTCTGTGCACCCAGGGTCGGGGTAGTCCAGCAGGGGAGTTGCACTCCAGGAAGAAGTCTTGCACTGGCAGCTGTATCTTGTACATTTTGAATCAAATGTGAAAAGCCAGGAAATAGCACTTGAATCACCTTTGGCAAACAGTGATCAGTGATTATGTGGGGAGTAGGGGATGGAATTGTACTCTAGAACCTTTATGTATTACCACTAATAACTTTAAAGCACTTAAACAATTTGGAGGATATTTTTCTTCCATCTTCCACTATCTTATTTCCCTGTGTGTGCATAAAGTTTTCTTTATCACACGTGAAAACTGTTCAATACAAGTCTCAAAGGGTGTTTTTGGTTCCCATCCCAACAGCTTCTATTAAAACAAATGGAAACCAAACAGATAAAATGATACAATGAAAATATAGGATTGGTATCGATCACAAAGTAGTTCTTTTTTTTTTTTTTTAAGATTTTATTTATTTCTTTGACACAGAGACAGATCACAAATAGGCAGAGAGGCAGGCAAAGAGAGAGGGAGAAGCAGGCTCCCCGCTGAGCAGAGAGCCCGATGTGGGGCTCGATCCCAGGACCCCGAGACCATGACCTGAGCTGAAGGCAGAGGCTTAAACCACTGATCCACCCAGGCGCCCGCACAAAGTAGTTCTTAGTAGAAATTCCTAAACCTTAACTCATCCAGGCTGAGAACTCCACTTTGGGGACCTAAGCCCCTAGGAAAAACAGAAAAGAAAATTGAAATGCTTGCATATTCAGTTGTTGAATAAACTCTGACATTCAATCATCAGAGTGTAATGTTCTTTTTTTTTTTTTTTTTTAAGATTTTATTTATTATTTATTTGACAGAGATCACAAGTAGGCAGAGAGTTAGGCGGGGGCGGGTGGGGGGGAAGCAGGCTCCCTGCTGCCCAATGTGGGACTCGATCCCAGGATCCTGGGATCATGACCTGAGCTGAAGGCAGAGGCTTTAACCCAATGAGCCACACAGGTGCCCCACAGAGTGTTATGTTCTATTAAAAATGACAGATATATTTAGGCTTGAAATAATTTGCAAAATAATAAACTCTCAAAAGTATAATTGTGTGTACATAATGATTACTTGAATTCTGGACATTAGAAGGATCAAAAGGGAACACCATTTTTATTATATGTCAGAGAAGTTCATTGTGTTGTGTTTTGTTATTAAGTTAAAACCGTTGCCTACCCCCGAGAAGGCTGCAGATGCTGGCTGGTTAGGTGGGACTGTTTTTGGCCTGTATTACCTCCCCTGAATTTTCTAATTTTGTTCTTCATCCCCTTTCTTTTTAGGATGCTATCTCTGAAACCCAGACAGAAGTGCTCACATTTCCGAACTCCCAGCGTGGTCTCAGAAGACAGAAGAGAGACTGGGTTATCCCTCCTATCAGCTGCCCAGAAAATGAGAAAGGCCCATTTCCTAAAAATCTGGTTCAGGTAGAGAAGGAAGTTCTCTATTTCTCTGGGAGCAGTTTGGCAGAACAGGACCTAGAAGAAAACGGGAAAACCCCAATGTCAGGATCCTTCCTTGATAATTCTGTTTGTTCTGTTTGGTCTTCAGATCAAATCTAACAGAGACAAAGAAATCAAGGTTTTCTACAGCATCACTGGTCAAGGAGCTGACACACCTCCGGTTGGTGTATTTGTTATTGAAAGAGAAACGGGATGGCTGAAGGTGACAGAGCCTCTGGATAGAGAACAAATCGCCAAGTACATCGTGAGTACCTCTCAGAAGCATGCAAATAATGGGATCATATCCTTCCAAATTTTTTTGGTCGACCCATGTTGGATCCCTAGAACAGATGCTCTGGATGTATGAGGCTTATTAATTGGATATCTCTATGCCCATTGACAAGGGGAGATGACAGGAGAATCTGGAAAAAGGGAGGGAGGGGTGTTGATTTTTTCCTTTTAGGATTAAAGAGAGGGGGAGTCTTAGGACCATACATGAGTTTAGACAGAAGATATCAACTTACTCTTGGGGCTTAAAGTTCCTGACCCAAACGAAGAGACCAGTTACAATGTTGGGGAGCAAAAGCCATTCCTGGACCTTGGTAGCTGTGTGAGCTTGGGGAGCTGGTGGGTAATACATGGGGCCAAATGCAGAAAAATCTGGGAGAGACACTAGACGGGAGAAGCCAGAGCAAATTTTACCCTGCTGGGAATAAGAGTGTTTTAGGCCTCCGGTCTTGTCTTAGGTCTGGCTCCCCAACCTTCCTGTGGGAAAGGGGAGCTCTGACCTGGTGGTTGTGTTCTGCAGCACATGAATCTTTACATAATATGACTTCAACCAGTGTCATGACATCACTGAAGCAGCAGCACATGTATGAGAAAAGTTCTCTGCGGGGCCGGGGGGTGTCCATCCTTGGGTCTTGGAGAGTGGGAGGGAGTGGAGGCCAGCTGGAGTTCTCCTCACATGACTTCTCCCATTTCTTCCTCCTTGTTGGGGTCCAAATAACCCTCACTTGGTTGTTACAGCTCTATTCTCACGCCGTGTCTTCTAATGGGAATGCAGTCGAAGACCCAATGGAGATCGTGATCACTGTGACTGATCAGAATGACAACAAGCCTGAGTTCACCCAGGAGGTCTTTGAAGGATCTGTCATGGAAGGTGCTCTGCCAGGTATGGCCAATGTCAAGATGCTGAATACCCAGAAAGACACTCAGATTCTTCAGACCTCAAAGTGTTGGGGCTTGTGTTTGGGATCAGGTCCTTCATAGGAACAGAACTTTTTTGGAAGCCTGTGTGTATGTGTGTGTGCGGCGCACGCACACAAAACATCATTCTGCAGAAATGTGTATGACAAAATAGGAGTCCTAGGATCCAGCCCCACATCGGGCTTCCGGCTCAGCAGGGAGCCTGCTTCTCCTCCTCCCTTTGCTGCTGCTCCTGCTGTGCTCTCTTCTTGCTCTCTGTCAAATAAATACATAATAAAGTAAATAAATAAAGTAAATCAATAAATAATCTGTAAAAAAAAAAAAAATAGGAGCAGTTTAAGAGGGGTGCCTGGCTGGCTCAGTTGGTAGAGCATGTGACTCTTGATCTTGGGGCTGTGGATTCTAGCCCCACATGGGCATAGAACTCACCCCTCCCCCGCAAAAAAGATCAGTTTAAGAACCTTCTCTAATGAAGAAACAAATTTTTGCCATTCCTGAACGCATTCTTTTCTCTCCGTGGTAAAGGTAGCCACTGCCCTGACTTTGGTGGTAGTCATTCCTTTGCTTCCCCTTATCTTGTGCATCATGTGTATATGTACCCCCTCTATAATATCTGGGTTTTTTGGCATGTTTTCAGATTTTGTATACATGGAATCACAGTCTACATGTATTTCTGTGATGTGCTTTGCTCCTTCAGCTTTATGGACATAAAGTTCTTCGTGTTGGTGCCCGTAGCAGTCCAAGGTCATCCATTCTCATTGCTGCATCATATTTATTATTTTTATATTTGTAGAAAGCCCTTTATTCCCCTGTTGAGGGAACTTGAGCTTGTTTCAGTTTTTCACTGTTCGAAATAGTGTTCTCAGAACATTCTTTAATATGACTTGATGCGTACTCACGAGGCTTTGTCCAGGGTGTGTGTCCATAATGGCGGATTGGTCGGTTATATGGGGTACGTGCCTGTTCAGTGTGACTAGTGGTTGAACCACTTGACATTCCCGCCAGCAGTCGATATCCTAGAATTGTTAGACTTTTTAGCTTTGTTGAGTGTGCACTTGGTATCTCTGTACAATTTTAAATGGCATGTCTCTGATTTATTAATGGGCTATTAGCATTTTCTATGTTTGCTGGCCATTCGGGTTTCTTCTTCATGACTTGTCTCTTCAAGTCTTTTGCTCCATTTTTCCCTTGGACTATTTGTCCTTTTCCTGTGGAGCTCTAAGGAATTTTGTTGATGTCATGGGCACTAGTCCTTTGGCCGTTGCATGTGCTGTAAGTATTCTCTACCACCTTGAAGGCTGTGATCTCTAGTGACCATTCTCTCTGGTGAAGCTGTGCCTCTGACACCACGTGGGGATATTGGTGGGATTTTTTCCTGTTTTTCACCTCATTCACTCAGTATGAGAGACAGGGAACAGCGTTTAGTTGGGAGGTTCTTTATTCCCCATTGTCCTCACCTCCAGCCCGCATCCTAAATTGTTGGAAAAGCAGAGTCATTGGAACACTGCTCACTGGATGGAATGCTTTTTTCCTCCCCTACCACTTTGGTAAAAATTTTTGGAAGTCAGAGAATGGAGCCATAACACAGCACCATCCCTAGGGCTCCTCTTTTAACACTCTGGACAGAACCGAGCGGAGCTGTGTTGACCAGAATCAAAGTGCAGCCGAACCGACTCTTTCTATCCCTCGCCACTTCAGGCACCTCCGTGATGCAGGTCACGGCCACAGATGCGGATGACGACGTGAACACCTACAACGCCGCCATCGCTTACCGCATCGTCACCCAAGACCCCCTCCTGCCCAGCAGCATGATGTTCACTATCAACAAGGACACAGGAGTCATCAGCGTGCTCACCACCGGGTTGGACCGGGAGGTCAGGGGTCAAGAGGTTCTGGAGGGGGTTGAGGGCAAACACATCAGCTTAAATCACATGGACAGTACAAAGCTCTGCTGAGGCCATTTGCCGCTTTATGTTTATGGTCTGAGCTTTGCATCTAAACAGCTCTCAGAGGTTTTATACCTAGAAGGCAGGCTGGCATTGAAGCAAATGATCAAATAAACGGTTTCCATGTCCTGGGCTGGGCTTGATGTGGCTGTTGGTCCTGACTCACAGGTTTTGATCTCTGCAGAAAATTCCCATGTACACCCTGGTGGTCGAGGCTGCCGACCTGCAAGGTGAAGGGTTAAGTACAACCGCAACGGCTCTGATCACAATCACTGACATCAACGATATCGCCCCCGTCTTCCAGCCCACCACGGTAATTCTGCAGCCCCCTGGATGGTTTCCAGAGAAAGGTCCTCCCTGGCTTTGCAGCTGCTCATGGGTGAACCCTTTGTGGATTTCCCCCAGACTAGTGAGCTTTCAGACGCAAGCAGATTGGAATGGGAGTCGTGTCTGTCCTCCTCAGCGTGGACCCTGTTGACCCAGGTTTGCAGAGTTGCAGATGGCACCTGGGGGCGTCTGCCTGGCTCAGTCCGTGGAGCACACAACTCTTGATCTTGGGGTTGTGAGTTCAAGAGAGCAGTTTAAAAAGAAAAAAAAAGGCACCGGTTGAGCTCATGTCCTCATGTTGTGCATCCTGCTGGCAAATCTTAGCAGGTTTTGGTTATTCACTGAACAAGTATTTTCTACATTTATAACAGGAATTGTGTTACATACTGGAGATACTATCACAATAAGGCAAAACCTCTGTTCTCATTGGAGCTGATAGTCTAGTTAGGGAGATGTTGGACAACTTGTACAGACTGTAGTGTGCAATTAAATGGAGATGGATAGAAGGTACTAAAAGCCACATGAAAGAATGCTAAATCTTAATATGTTAGTTAGAAATAATCTCAGTGGTTAGTAACAGAGACTTGACTCTTGTACCTTAAACAAATAAGGTAAACTTTCTCTTGTGTCACAAAGAGCCTAGAGCTAGAGTATCTACACTCTCAGTGGAAACTCCTTCATTTTGCTGTCCCACCATCGTTGGGGCATGGCTTCCATCCTCGGTGGCCCCAGATGGCTGCTGCAGCTCCAGCTGTCTCCGTGCTTCATTCAGGGAGGAGGCAAGGGCATGGTGAGCAAAAGGCATTGCTGCTAAGTCAAGGCTTCTTAGTTCCATCCCACAAGTTTCCTTTACCTCTTTTTTTTTTTTTTTAAAGATTTTATTTATTTATTTGACAGAGAGAGAGATCGCAAGTAGGCAGAGAAGCAGGCAGAGAGAGGGGGGAAGCAGACTCCCCGCTGAGCAGAGAGCCCGATGCGGGGCTCGATCCCAGGACCCTGGGATCATGACCTGAGCCAAAGGCAGAGGCTCAACCCACTGAGCCACCCAGGCGCCCCTCCTTTACCTCTTACTAGCAGTTGCTGTCTTCGAGGAGGATGGGAAATAAAATATTTTGTCTGGGCACATTGCTGCCCCCAACAGTATAATTCGTGAAGAAGGGGTGAGTGGATATTTACTAGGCAATTAGCAGTAACTGCCACCCTAATCTAGGCATTGTGAGTACAAAAAGGCTTCACAAAGCCCGTGATGTTTACAGTAAGACTTGAAAGGTCTGGTCTGAGGAAAGCATCAGCATCCTAGACACTCACTGGAAAGCCAGGGCTTGGGTGAACGCACTACCAACCTCTGCTCTAGGTTTCTTGCAGTCTGCTCCCACCCGCGGGGCCTGGGCCTGAGCCGCACCTGCTAGGCCAGACATGCCTGCCGCAGACCGGCCACCCGCACAGCTCCTGGCCTTCCATCCTGCCCATTTCTCCTGCCTGACGGGCTTTCGTGCAGTTCTAGTTTTTCTAGAAACTGACCTTTGTATTAGTAGAGTCTTCAGGATAATTTGTTAGAAACCAATGACTCCTTTCAGCTGTGAACAGGTTTTTCCCTTGATTCCAACCCAAAGTTTTACGTACTTTTCTGGTTTACTCAGTAAATTTGTGGGTGGCTTTACCCCATTTAGTATCCTATGTTCTTAGTCCTGTGTTAGGTTTGCATCTCAAGAAGTGGTGAAATGTACATCAGTCTCATTAAATATGAAATAGCCATGATAATAGGAAGGTAGGACTTGAAAGGAGGTTGTCCAGTGTGGGATAGGGGGCAGTGGAAAAGTGTTCTAGGCAGAGGGATCACCATATGCAAAATGCCCTGAATCAATAAAAAATTGTCAAGAACTGAAAAACAGGCTGGGTAGTGAATCAAATGAGGTTGGGTCCTATAGCCCTTGTAGATGGCATAAGAATTTTAGTATTTATCCTGGTGCAAGGGGATGTCATCAAGGGTTTTAAGCAGAGGACCATACTGACCAGACTTATGTTTTATGAAAATCGTTGGTGCTACTAGGAATGGTGGGAGAGGAGAGGAGTAGTGGATAAGCCACAATGTCTTGAGTTTGGTTACGATCACAGTCAGCAGCTGGGCTGGAGTGTGCTGAGGGGCTCAGGTAGTCAGATCCTTGGAAAGTGGACACAGGTAGTCTTGAAGGATGAGACATCTTGAGCAGTATTAGCTGCTCCCCCAACAGGAAGTAGGGGCTCTGCTGGTGAAGTAGGCTCTTCTCCAAGACTCTGCTTGAAAGGATTCCTTTAGCTCTCATGGACCTGGCTCATCTATTAGATGTCGGGATGTCATAAGTGACTCATCTCCTTTGCTCTGTAGTACCAGGGGCGGGTGCCTGAGAACAAGGCCAACGTTGAAATCGCCGTACTCAAAGTGACTGATGACGATGTCCCCAATACCCCAGCATGGCAGGCCGTGTACACCATTTTGAACAATAACGATGAGAAGTTTGTTGTCACCACAGACCCAGTAACCAACGACGGCATTTTGAAAACAGCTAAGGTTTGTATGACATCTCAGCCAGCTGCCTGCTCCCTTGTCCCTCAGTGTCCTTTCAGAAATAGAGTAGTGTGGCGTTGGTGGGTTAGGAGTGGGCAGCTGTCCCAGGTTCTGGTGAGCCATTTGGGGTTTGCAGCAACTCTTCAGGCACATGTGAGAAGCTCCTACGCAGCCCCTTGAAATCAAGGAGAAAGAAAGTACCATCTGTTTTAAAAGGCTTTCTCCCTGAAACATTTGCCTACCCCCATATCCATTTGGCAAATGAGAAGAAAGAAGGGTTTACTGGTCTCTGCTATTTTGCTGGATTATTTTAGAAGTGGGACACATGACTTTTTGAAAGATGTCTTGGAAACCTGAAAACTAAGAAGTTGAGTGATTCTCTTGTCAAAGTTATTCAAAGTTAGCAGATCTCTGGTTCAGCCCCCAAACGTAGACTTCCTGTTGAATAGGCGAGCAAGACTGTTCGTTTCTGCCGCACCTTTTCTACATAACCTTATCTCCCACCGAACACTGATGTCAACATATTCTATGCTACTAACAAAAGAAACCACTAAAATGAACCCCTACCATACACGACGTCCCGCACAAAAATTTCCAGTTTATTCTTTAAAGCAACTCTACATACTGGTTCCTTTTCGTATGTATCTGGGTGTGGAAACAGACCCAGAGATGTAGTTGCCTGGACCACACAGCTGGGAAATGGCCCACCTGGACTTTGACCTTGTTGCTGGCTGATATCTGAACCTGCATGTTGTCACTAAACTTAATTGAGGTCAGCGAGGTCAGGAGCAGGGTCTTTTGTCCATCTGCTCTCGCACGGACCACATGTCACATAGGATACCAACATTCTTACTAGTCTTGGATAGTAGATGACTTAAGGTGCTAGTGTTTGCTCACTGGGTTGTGCTGTTCAAGGCTTCACATAGTTTGTTACTCTCTGCTAGGGTTCTTACCTCTTTTTATTTATTTTAAAGATTTTATTTATTAGAGAGAGAGAGAGACGGTGAGAGCAGGTACACAAGCAGGGGGAGTGGGAGAGGGAAAACAGGCTTCCCACTGAGCAGGGAGCCTGATGTGGGGCTCAATTCCAGGACCCTGGGATTGTGACCTGAGTCGAAGGCAGACACTTAACGACTGAGCTACACAGGTTCCTCTAGGGTTCTTATCTTTAATATGGTTGCGTGTTAGCTTTTGAAAAACATCTACATCCTGCCGCCCCCCCCCCCGGCCGGGGAGATTATTGTTTACTGGGTCAGGGTGTAGGCCTTTATTTTCTTCAGAAGTTCTCAAGTTAACTTCTTCCTAACACAGCCAGATCAGAGAACCATGACATAGTGCCAGCCACAGCAGTAGTTAAGCATGTCATCTTTTTTTTTTTTTTTTTTTTAAACACTAACAAAGGGGTGCCTGGGTGGCTCAGTGGGTTAAAGCCTCTGTCTTCAGCTCAGGTCATGATCTCAGAGTCCTGGGATTGAGCCCCACATCGGTCTCTCTGCTCAGCAGGGAGCCTATTTCCTCCTCTCTCTCTGCCTGCCTCTCTACCTACTTGTAATCTCTGTCTGTCAAATAAATAAATAAAATCTTAAAAAAAAAAAAACACTAACAAAGAATGTATTTGTTAACCCCTTTTGTTTCTGCTCCTTAGGGCTTGGATTTCGAGGCCAAGCAGCAGTATATTCTGTATGTGACCGTCGTGAATGTAGCCCCGTTTGAGGTCATTCTCTCCACCTCCACGGCCACTGTCACTGTGGACGTGGAGGACGTGAATGAAGCCCCCGTCTTTGTGCCTTGCCCAAAGGAAGTGCGCATACCTGAAGACTTCGGTGTGGGCCTGGAAATCACGTCTTACACTGCCAAAGACCCGGACCAGTTCATGGAACAGAGCATAACGTAAGTTTGAGAATTTTTCAACAGACTGGCAGCAACTCTGTGCGTGTGTGTGTGTGTACATTTGTGTGCATGTGTGTAAAATACTTAGTTCATAGAGCTTTATCATCGTTGGTCTGTGCAAGACCCTTCTCTTTTGGCCCCTTTTTTTTTTTTTTTTTTAAATTCCCATTCCTCACATCTTTTCCATTCCCTCCATAGATAGCCATTCTAGATTTACTGTGCTTCTTCTCTTCAAGGTCATGCAGTGAGGCAGGAATGTGCTTTTAATTGAAATGAATGGTGTTGCGTTATAAGTAGCTCACTATTTCCTCTCCTTTTAAACTGGAAGGCGCCTCTGTAATCTAGATCACACCCACCTACGTTGAAAACACATGTGGAAACCAACAGCAGCACCCACGACCATGTATGAAAAAGAACGTCCCTCATCTTTTGAGGGCTGGATTTGGCTAGGAAAAAGTTATTAGAGCCCAAATCCCAACATGACACATGTGTCTTTGTTAGTAATAGTGTGATTTCCAGGGGTAGCAGAGCTTGGCCAATGAGCCCACTTACTCTTCACAGAGAGGTTCCTACCTGTTAATATTTGCTTTAGAGGAAAACTGTAACAATGAACTATTTAGAAAAAAAACGTTCTACAAATCTGGAGTACTGTCTTACTTACTAATTGAGTATGTTCTTATTTTGAGGGGTGTTTGTGTTTTAGTATCAGTGCTTTTCACTTACTAAACTTCAAACAAACAAAAAGATTTTTTAAATGTGACTTGAACTTTTAAGGTTATTCTGGGAATTTTTAAAAAATTGTATCTATTTGAGAGAGCAAGAGAGGACGAGCAGCAGGGAGAGGCAGAGAGAGAGTGGAAAGCAGACTCCCTGCTGAGCAGGGAGCCTTATATGGGGCTTGATCCTAGCACCCTGGGATCATGACCTGAACCAAAGGCAGATGCTGAACCGACTAAGCCACCCAGGTGCTTCTATTCTGGAGACTTTTTATGCCGATTCTGTACTGAGGGAAAGAGCTCCTGAATACCTCTAGACAGTGCTTGTGCCCTCTACAGAATGAACTAAACAAAGGGGGCAGGTAGTGATCTTAAAGGCTGCTAGAACTGAGTCCTTAGATCAAGGATGACGGGGAAATTTTCAATGGAGACTAATAACACCAAAACTTTCTGATCGATTTTAACATTTACTATTATAAAAAAAAAAAGGCAAGGACAGCACGACATAACGTGCCAGCCACCTCCTGTGATCAGCGGCGTGCACACAGTGCCACTGAGGAAATGGTTTTGGAGAAAACAAAAGTTGGGACGAGATGTAGTCAAACAATAGGATCTGATTTTGAAGAAATGGAGAGAATGGGGTGCCTGGGTGGCTCAGTGGGTTAAAGCGTCTGCCTTCGGCTCAGGTCATGATCTCAGGGTCCTGGGATTGAGCCCCACAGTGGGCTTTCTGCTCAGTGGGGAGCCTGCTTCCCCTTCTCTCAACTTGCTTCTCTGCCGACTTGTGATCTCTCTCTCTCTCTCTCTCTCTGTCAGATAGATAAATAAATAAAATCTTTAAAAAAAATGCAGAGAATGAAGAAACTACTTAAATGCCACAAGGAGGCAGTCAGCCAAACACAGAATGTAGCAACTCTGTGACAAATGGCACTGTTTTCCATGAAATGAATGAATAGCAAAAGGGAAGGGGGACTGCTGTGCAGGAAGAGAGTACTAACAGGCAGGTGATCCACGGGTAATGTGTAGACTACACTTGAATGTAGATTCAACAGTCCAACCATAAAGACACCCTTGAGTCAATTCGAGATATTTGAACATGGAGTTGGCATTAAATGACGTTAAGTAATTGTTTTTGTAAGATGTGTTAGTGGCATTCTGATTGTTGGGGGTCTTTTTTGTTTTTGTTTTTGTTTTTTTTTAACTTTTCCTATATAAGATATGTGCTAAGGTATTTAGAGGAGAAATCTTTTTAAAGATTGTATTTATTTATGACAGAGAGAGATAGCAAGAGGGGGAACAAAAGCAGGGGGCAGCTAGAAAGGGAGAAGCAGGCTTCCCGCTGAGCCGAGAGCCTGATGAGGGGCTCGATCCCAGGACGCTGGGACCTTGACCCCAGCCGAAGGCAGACGCCTAACAACTGAGCCACCCAGGCATCCCCAGAGGAGAAATCTTTTGGCATCTGGGATTTGCTTTAAAATAGACTGTAATTTCAGGGTCGCCTGACTGGCTCAGTCAGTGGAGTGTGTCACTCTTGATCTTGGGCTTGTGAGTTTGAGCCCCACATTGGGTGTAGAGATTACTTAAAAATAAAATCTTAAGGGGCGCCTGGGTGGCTCAGTGGGTTAAAGCCTCTGCCTTCAGCTTGGGTCATGATCCCATAGTCCTGGGATTGAGCCCCGCATCAGGCTCTCTGCTCAGCAGGGAACCTGCTTCCCTTTCACTGTTCTGCCTGCCTCTCTGCCTACTTGTGAGCTCTGTCTGTCAAATAAATAAATAAATAAAATCTTTTAGAAAATAAAATCTTAAAATACATAAAATACTTTGATTTCATCCATATATTCAAGATACTGGTCATAATCTGAAGATTGCTTCTAAGTGGTCAAAAATAAAAGGGCCAATAACGTGTGTGTGTGTATGTGTGTGTGCATGCGCGCATTCTAAGTTCCAAAAAGGCTTTATTATATACAGAGGGGAGGGGTTCGGTCCTTCTTGGCTGCCACTTTCCTTGTGGCCACCAGGACATGGTTGAGCTCCTCTGTCTTCCTCTTGGCATGGATGTGTTTCCTCACCCTTTACCTGATGAACTGAGGGTGCACTTGTTCTTGGAGACCTTGAGCCACTCACATGGCACGCTGTTCATGTAGGCCAGAGGCACTACCTTCTCGGGTCCTGCCCTGCATGAACTTGGTGTCCCTCACGGGGTGCCTGCTGCAGCGGCTATACCTTGGCCTCCACACATTCTTAATCACCTCATGGTCTTTTTTGAGTCCCATAGAGATAGTGTGGTGCAGAACCACGGCTGGACGCCCCAAGCCACACCCCACAGTCCGGATAGCAACAGACCCTACAACATGTGGTGCCCCACTAACATAGTGTGTGCTTTTATTTATGTTTCTAAAGATTTTATTTAGTTACTTTAGAGAGAAAGGGGCTGGAGAAGTGGGGGAGAGAGAATTTCAAGCAGACTCCCCACTGAGTGGGGAGCCTGAGGTGGGATTTGAACCCACGGCCCTGAGGTGAAGACCTGTGTTAAGATCAAAAGTCGGATACTTAACCAACTAAGCCATCCAGGTGCCCTTCGTAAGATGTGTTTATAATCAAACTTGAAAAGTAGAGTGGAAAACCAGGGACAACTTTGTTGGGCTTTTGTTCAGTGATGAAGCCTTGGAGTGTGTGGTTTCAAGGCTGGGTTGACATCTTCGCTTGCAGTAGTGAGATGGGCAATTCTAAATTTCTGTTTGAGGGGCAGCTGGGTGGCTTAGTCAGTTAAGTGCCTGCCTTCGGCTCAGGTCGTGATCTCAGGATCCTGGGATCGAGTCCTTCATCAGGCTCCTTGCTCAGTGGGGAGTCTGCTTCTCCCTTAGTGTGCGTGTGTGCATTCTGTCTCTGTCAAATAAATAAATAAATCTTTAAACAACAACAACCACCTTCTCTTGGACCAAGTGCAGGGACCAAGTGTTACTATTGTGTGTAGAGGCCCTTACCCTTGGAGTAAAGACCACTCTGTGGTTCAAGGCTTTGCACTTGTAAAGAGGTGAGGATGTACATACAGGTATCCAAGGCCCTTGTGTCCTTAAGTTATTTGTTTCCTTTTCTGAGTCTTTCCATGACCCTGGCAGATAACTGAGCGGTGTATCTGTTTTTCTTCTTTCTTTTTAAAAATTTTATTTATATAGAGCACATGGTGGGGGGAAGGCAGAGGGAGAGGGAGAAGCAGGCTCCCACTGAGTAGGGAGCCCAACTGCAGGCTTGATCCCAGGACCCCGAGATCGTGACGTGAGCCGAAGGCAGACGCTTAACCAACTGAGCCACCCAGGCGCCCCATCTCTGTCTTTCATGGCTTTGTTTTCTCTGACTGAATGTTTCTGGTATACCTAATAAGGTGTAGCTTAACAGGATTTTTTTTTTAAACATTTTATTTATTTATTTGAGAGAAGAGAGAGACAGTGAGAGAGAGCATGAGCGAGGAGACGGTCAGAGGGAGAAGCAGACTCCCTGTGGAGCTGGGAGCCCGATGCAGGACTCGATCCCGGGACTCCAGGATCATGACCTGAGCTGAAGGCAGTCGCTTAACCAACTGAGCCACCCAGGCGCCATTAACAGGATTTTTTGAGTAAAACTTTTTTCTCGCTGTGTAAGACCGGAAGGAGCTTGAGCCTCTCTAGCACCTACCAACATAGGCCAGTATTGCATCCCACCCTCGGGCCACTGTGTCAACCCAGACCTCCTCATGCTCATCGTAGGGGTGCTGGGGGGCATGTTGCCACTGTTTGTGAGCTACCGTACCCCTTGGGTAACTGGTCTGAAAGAGTCTGCTTTTAAATAACACATAGGATGAGGGGGTGCCTGGGTGGCTCAGTTGGTTGTGTCTGTCTTCAGCTCAGGTCTGGATCCCAGGGGTCCTGGGATCGAGCCCTGGGTTGAGCTCCCTGCTCAGCAAGAAGCCTGCTTCTCCCTCTCCCACTCCCCTGGCTTGTGTTCCCTCTCTCACTGTCTTTCTCTCTCTCTGTCAAATAAATAAATAAAATATTAAACAAACCAAAAGAAAAGGCTCAGGACATCAGGGTGGCTCAGTTGGGTAAGTGTCTGCCTTCCGCTCAGGTCATAATCCCAGAATCCTGGGATTGAGTCCTACATCACGCTTCTTGCTCAGCAGGAAGCCTGCTTCTCCCTCTGTCTGCTGCTTCCCCTGCTTGTGCTTTCTCTCTCTCTCTCTCTCTGACAAATAATCTTAAAACACACATACACACACATAGGATAGTATTCATTGCTTCAGGCAAGAATTGTCCATAGATGTTAAATTTCTTGGATGAAACTTCGGTGAACAGGCTATTGTGACATTTTCTCCTCTCAGGTCATAGATTAATTACCGTAAGAAAAAAGGTACCTTTGCTGTAAAGAGTTCTGATTGCCTGTCACTTCCCCAAGTGATGGAAGTGAACATCGCCAAGAAAAGGATAGCTCTCACGTGCCTCCTAATCTGATGGATATGACGAGGACACATATTATCTCCACACTGTTCTTGCTTCCCCTTCCCTCATATAATGCGAAACTGCTTAGGAGGGAGGGGTGCCGGGGTAGCTCAGTCATTAAGCATCTGCCTTCAGCTCAGGTTGGGATCCTGGGATCGAGCCCTGCATCAGGCTCCCTGCTCAACGAGGAGCCTGCTTCTCCCTCTCACTCTGCTCCCCTGCTCCTGCTCTCTCTCTCTCTCTCTCTCTCTGTCTCAAATAAATAAATAAATAAATAAAATCTTTAAAAAAAAATTTTTTTTAAATAAAAATAAGAAAAAGAAACTACTTAGGGGGTAATGATCAGACCAACCCAAATTGAGGGGCTTTCTACAAAACAAGTGGCCTATACTTTACTTTTTTGTTGTTCGTGCTGTAAGATTTTTTTACTTACTTCAGAGAAAGAGAACTGGGGGGAGGAGCAGAGGGAGAGGGAGAAAGACACTCAAGCAGACTCGTGCTGAGTGTAGAGCTGGATGTAGGGCTTGATCTCATGACCAGTCATGATCTGAGCAGAAACCAAGAGTCAGGTGCTTAACTGACTGCCCTACTCAGGCACCCCTGGCCTACACTTTCCAAAAAGTGTTGAGAAAGAAAAGAAAGGCTAAGGACTAGTTCCAAATTAGGGAAACATGACGTCTAAATGTCAGGCATGGATGGATCCAGAATCTGGGCAGGGATGTTCTGGAGGACAGTTTTGGGGAAATGGACAATTTAAATATGTGCCATATATTAAATAAGAGTATGATATCAAAGTTCTATTTCCTGAAATTAAATAATCATCATGTAAGAAAATGCCTCTGTTCTTAGGGGCTAACACGCTGAAGCATTTCTGAGTGAAAGAACGTGAGGTCTGCAACTTGAAGGGGACATGGATGGTCATACTTTGCTGTAGATGGGATCAATGAGCGATGAGGACCCTTAGCCTTCTTCACCTAGGTGCTGTTCAGTGTACTGTTCTAAGGCAGAGTTTGTGCCTTCTCAGGTACCGGATTTGGAGGGATGCTGCCGGTTGGCTGGAGATTAATCCAGAATCTGGTGCCATTTTCACTCGGGCTGAGCTGGACAGAGAGGACACAGAGCATGTGAAGAACAGCACGTACGAGGCCATCATTATAGCCGTTGACAACGGTAAGGCTGCCCTTAGTGTGTGACCTTTGCCATCTCACCCTCCTGGCTAGTGTGCTCCATTGCCCCATACCCTGCTTTTGGAGGCCAGAGTTCATTCTTTTCCTTGTATTCTTAAAGAAAGGCATATGATTTTCAAAGTACAAATAATTATACCTGAACCCACTCCTTCCCCACGGGAGCCAGACTGCCTTGGTCTGGATCCTAAGACAAAAGCTTATGTCCCTCTGTTCCTCTATCTGGTAAAATGATAATACCCCATCTGGATTTTAAATGAGTTCATTTGGGTGCCTGGGTGGCTCAGTGGGTTAAGCCGCTGCCTTCGGCTCAGGTCATGATCTCAGGGTCCTGGGATCGAGTCCCACATCGGGCTCTCTGCTCAGCAGGGAGCCTGCTTCCCTCTCTCTCTCTGCCTGCCTCTCTGTCTACTTGTGATCTCTGTCTGTCAAATAAATAAATAAAATCTTTAAAAAAAAAAAAAATAAAAAATAAATGAGTTCATTTATGTAAAAGTGCCCTAGAAGAGTGTATGCTCTATAAGGACTATCATAATTTTTATCCTCATCATTAGTAGTGAAATGTGGCTCCTTCCAGACTGTGTATTTGAATACATTTACATGCATATAGAAATAGAGTTTATTCCCTGGGGATAAAAATATATTATATGTTTATTAAAAAAAAAAAAGAAATAGAGTTTATTATAAAGCCACTATCTAGTTTACAGCCTGGTTTTGCTTTTATTACAAAAACCATTATTTTGGGGGTGCCTGGGTGGCTCAGTTGTTAAGCGTCTGGCTTTGGCTTAGGTCATGATCCTGGCCAGGGTCCTGGGATTGAGCCCTGTATCATGCTCACTGCTCAGCAGGAAACCTGCTTCTTCCTCTTCCACTCCCCTGCTTGTGTTCCCTTTCTTGCTTGCTCTCTATCAAATAAGTAAATAAAAATCTTTTAAAAAACCTTAAACAACCATTATTTTGTATATGTTGATTTAAATGAAAGTTAATTTATTTGCTATTTAGTTTATTATTATTGATAATGTGTCTTAAAGACCCAGATATATTTTGACACCTTATAAATCTATCTCTTTGTATTAATGTTATCTGGATATAGCATATTTTAATCATTCACACATCAAAGAACACTTGGGGTGGTTTCCACTTACTCGATACTCCCATGAGTTTCATAAGGAAACCTCCTTGTCCATGACCTCTGTGTGCAAGTGTTTCCCTTGGCTGGCTATTTAGAAACAGAATTACTGTTAGAAACTGCTCGCTCCCTGGGACTGTGGTGGATTCTCTTTCTCTCTCTAACTCCCCAGCTTCCTGAGGTAGTAGATAGTCTTGAAAACACCGCAAAGCAGATTAGGCCATGATGGGGCTGGACAGGTGGCTGGTGGATGATGCAGACTCCGTGGCATTGTGACCATGCCGGGGGCAAACGAGCCTGGCCTCCTCACTTAGAATCGAAAGCCTGTTCCTGGAGCTGTATGTGGGAGTTAATCGGGTTAAAAGCAGAGAGCAGGACAAGTAAGGCCCATGATGGGGTCCCATTCACAGAATGCTTTTTGCCTGAAGGGAAAGCTAGCCCAAGGCTTCAGCCGCACAGGCCGCTGTCACTGGCTGCGTAGAAACTCTCCAGCCTGGCCTGGAAGTAGGTGGAGGAAATGGCTCCTGAACATGGGTTGGCAGACTTTCTGTAAAGGAAGGGCCAGGGAATAAGTATTTTAGTGTCCACGGGCCATGTGGTCTTGATTGCCTTTGCAGCCTAGAAACATCCATAGGTAATCTGTAAAGGGGGAATGAGCACAGCTATGTTTCTTAATTTGCCTGGAAGACCTTAGTTTGCTGACCCCTGACCTCATAATCGTGGCTCAGGTATGATGGTGGCGAATGATTCCTTTAAGTTTCACTTTGTGCGTGACTCAGCACTTTTTAATGTAAGGTCTACGAGGAAGAAGAATGAGGCTTCTTAAAAAATCTATTAGTTCTTTTTTAATTAGAAAAAATTTTAGGGGTACCTGGGTGGCTCAGTCATTAAGCGTCTGCCTTCAGCTCATGTCATGATCCCAGGGTCCTGGGATGTAGCCCTGCATCGGGCTCCCTGCTTGGCGGGAAGCCTGCTTCTCCCTCTCCCACTTTGCCTCGTGTTCCCTCTCCCTGTATCTCTCTCTGTCAAATAAATAAATAAAATCTTTAAAAAAAAAAAAAAAAAAGAGAAAAAGAGGGGTGCCTGGGTGGCTCAGTAGGTTAAAGCCTCTGCCTTCTGCTCAGGTCATGATCTCAGGGTCCTGGGATCGAGCCCCGCATTGGCATCTCTCCTCAGCAGGGAGCCTGCTTCCTCCTCTCTCTGCCTGCCTCTCTGCCTACTTGTGATCTGTCAAATAAATAAATAAAAATCTTTTTTAAAAAAGAAAAGAAATGTAAATGACACTACCTATTTTTTAAATACATATGATAAGATAAAAAAGATTTGATGGATGTATAAACAAAATACGGGTATATGCATACAGTGGAATATTGTTAAGCCTTAAAAAAGGAAGGGCATCCTGTCACAAGTTATAACCTGAATGAATCTTGGGGGCATTATGCTAAGTAAAGGCCATGTCACAAAAAGGTAAATACTTTATGGTTCCACTTACTTAAGGTCTGAAAGCAGTCTAATTCATAGAGACAAAGTAGAATGGTGGTAACCAGGGGCTGGGAGGAAAAGGAAAGTAGGTAGTTGTTAAATGGGTACTGAGTTTGAGTTTTGCAAGATAACAAGGTTCTGGAGAGCTATTCCACAGCAGTGGGAATATACTTACATTGTTGAACCTAAAATGTGAAGTGAACTTTAAAATGGTTGAGATGGTAAATTTTATGCTATGTGGTTTGTTTTAACCACGATTTTTTTATAGGGTTAAAAAAAAAATACAACAGCACTATAGTCTTGCTACCTGGGTATAACCCTTTCTAGGTTCAAGATAAGAGTCTTGTGTTTTCTTTCCATAATAATCTAACATTGATGGTTATACTTGAGTGTCTACTTTTTCTACCACCGTGTTTGCTAGATGCTATGTCAGAAGGTAAAAGAAATCCACACAGAAGTGGCCAAGTCTTCCTCCACCCTCAAACTATTTTCGAAAGCACCTTGCAGCAATTTAAAAAGCTCAACCCTTTGATAATGACCTTCAAGCCATAGAAGCTCTGAAAAGGGAGAATTGTGGGGTAGGGGGGAATGGAATGAGGAAGTCTTAGAGGGGTTAAAGTTTAATGTGTGCATAAAGGTATGTGTAGAAGAGGGAAGGGGGTGTCCTTTGTGTGAGCATAATTTGAATAATTGCTGTCAGACTAGGGGAAAAGCATGTCAGAAAGCAGTCAGAGCTGAAGTGAAGATGCCCCATGATGGGGAGGGGGGCGCCTGCTGATGGGTCCCTAAGGAGTCAAACCAAGATTGGGATTTGGGCAGATGGGAGTCAGTAGAGCTTCATGAATGTTCTTTTTTTTTTGTTTGTTTTTTTAATAAGGATTTTACTTATTTATTTGACAGAGATCACAAGTAGGCAGAGAGGCAGAGAGAGAGAGGAGGAAGCAGGCTCTCCGCTGAGCAGAGAGCCTGATGTGGGGCTCAATCCCAGGAGACTGAGATCGTTACCTGAGCCGAAGGCAGAGGCTTTAACCCACTGAGCCACCCAGGCACCCCATGAATGTTCTTGAGCCATAGTATTTCCTGTGTATTTTCTCTTAGGTTCTCCAGTTGCTACTGGAACGGGAACCCTCCTCCTGATCCTCTCTGATGTGAATGACAATGGCCCTGTACCAGAACCTCGAAATATGGACTTCTGCCAGAAGAGTCCACAGCCTCATGTCATCAACATCATTGACCCAGATCTTCCGCCCAACACATCTCCCTTCACAGCAGAACTAACGCATGGGGCAAGTGTCAACTGGACCATTGAGTACAATGACCAAGGTGGGAACTGGAATCTTACTTCAGGAACTTTGACCACATGCTTTCCCTGCTCCCATACCTGCTCCTACCCTCCCCCTTTCTGAAATTCCCTTCTTAACTTCCAGATGCCACCCTTCAATTTGACGTGTGTTCACTTACCCCTTCTACATTTGAGGCGTTGCACCGAAGAGCCCTTTCCTTTCTGGTATCTGATTCTGCTAAGTACTGTCCAGTAATCTGTGACCCAAGCAGCTCCATTTTCTTGACCCCAATAATTTTATTCTAGAATGAGGCTTTTTTCTCCCCTTGTCCAATCATTGATTTTTGTTGCTTCCTTTAGCCCATGAATCTCTAATTTTGAAGCCGAAAAAAACCTTAGAGTTGGGTGACTACAAAATAAATCTCAAGCTCACGGATAACCAGAACAAGGACCAGGTGACCACCCTAGATGTGTACGTGTGCGACTGTGAAGGGGTCACCAACAACTGCAAGAGGGTGGCGCCATACGCAGAGGCAGGCTTGCAGGTTCCTGCCATTCTGGGCATTCTCGGAGGAATCCTCGCTTTACTAAGTACGTATGACTGCCAGGCGGTTCAGCCTTTGGCTTCTAAAACGGGGAAGCTCTATCCCTTACTGAATGGTTCAGAGATAAGTTGGCCAAGACTGGAAGGCAGCCCTGTTCCATGAGATCATCATCAATAGTCCTTCTATTTTGTTGTTCTGTCAGTCCCTCAGGGGAGTGCTTCTCATGCTCGAGGACATATCAGTCACCTGCATGAGGATTCTGAGCTGGTCATCTGGGAGGGGTCTGGGGTGGGAACCTCATATTCCACATTTGTAACCAGCTCCCTGGTGGTGCAGGAGCTGCAGGTCCTTGGACCAGCTTGGAGCAGCAAGGCCTTAGGGTCTTCTCCTCATCAGCATGGTCCAAGCTCTCCAGCTCACCTCCACCACTTGTGCTTCCACAGTCTACATTCCATCCTGGAGAAGGGATGCTGGAGAACGTGGGAAGGACATACCTGGAAATGACATGAGTCACCTTCAGTCCCATCCCACTGGCCCAAACACAGCCACACTGAGAATTTCCCACTTGAACTCTATGGCCATGTGCCCATTTAAACCTTGGCATCGGGTGGGGGTGGAGTGTAGCGTGAACAGTGAGTATCAGTGACTGAAAGGACAGAATGGGGAAAAGGATACTGGGGGGGGGGGGCTGTGTCAGTTCCTACCATAGTCTTTGAAACTGTTATCACCTGGTCCCACCTAGAAACTGGACCCTATGGTTGCCATTATGGTTTCTAAAAACTTGGTGATTGCAAGTCGTTTAGAAAATTTTCAAAAATAGTTTATAAATTCGGGACTGGAAAGGGTGGTCCAGGTCGTTAATGCTTTTACTATCAGAAAGGGTGGATGTTAGTTGACCCTCAAGGAAGTTTTGATGGAAGGTGTAGGATGGTTGGGACAGAGGCCGGTGGCATCCAGATGGACAGAGGGGCGTTCGTGAGGGTTCCCACACTAGTGAAGGCACAGAGAGGAAGGCTTGATTGCACTGTGAAGGGCAAAGAGGAGGCCAGTGTGGCTGGAGTAGAAGAACGTTCTTAGAGGGAGCAGTGGCAAAAACCCTGGGGTTTCAGTTTAGACTCAACACAGACGTTCTTTTTTTTTTTTTTTTTTTTTTTTAATTTTTTTTTTTTAATATTTTATTTATTTATTTGATAGAGAGAGATCACAAGTAGGCTGAGAGGCAGGCAGAGAGAGAGGGGGAAGCAGGCTCCCTGCTGAGCAGAGAGCCCGATGTGGGGCTCGATCCCAGGACCCTGGGATCATTACCTGAGCCGAAAGCAGAGGCTTTAACCCACTGAGCCACCCAGGCGCCCCAACACAGACGTTCTTAATCCCACTGCTTGCTGCTTGAACAGATTGCTTTGCTCCCGCCCTCTGCTACTTGTGTCCCCTCAAAACTGAGAAGGAAGGAGAGTGTCGTTCAGAATTCAGTGAGCTTTCTGGACCTCTGTTCCTCAGTGTTCACCTGGCTTTATTGCCACTGTGGGATGAGGTGAATTCCCCTTCCTCTGCCATCATCGTGGGTGCCCTTGTACAAGCCCTGTCTGGCCGTTTCCTTCCCACTCCCCTTACATCTAGGTCAGTCAGCTTTGGGGATGGCAGCTACTAACTAGTACTTCCATTCTAAGGAATATGTTAAAGATCGTTGTTACATTGAAAATAATTGACTTTTGAGTAATAGCATTACCTCAGTGTGTTTGGGATAGATTGCATTAGGCACAGGGGACAAGAGTGACACTGCAGAATGTTCAGATGTGGAACAGTGTTGAGAGCAGAGGCAATGCCAGCATTCAGACTTAGAACTCCTTGTTCCCTGTGGGCCAACGTAGAACTTACACTTAAACAAAGATTACACTAGAAAGACGCCAGGATATGATGGTTTTCTTGGCATCCCTCAGTGTTAGGTTGCTTGCTTGGTGCCAGGCTTCATGGAGATCCTGTGGGAGTGCTGAGGTTGTGGTACAGTGTGTGGGGCAGAACTTCCTGAAGTGATAACAATAGGACTTATTTTGGTTACTTTCAGTGACATTTAAGTAATGTTGGATAAGTAGCGTCTTCTTGGAAACGATAAACCTGCTTTTAGTGGCTCGAAGCTCCACCAGGATGGTGACTGTTTGCATCTTACGTGGTGTTAAGTACTGTATTGTCTGCGGAGACAGGTCTTGGCCCATGGAGCAAGTACTCCATATTCCTCTTTGTGAATTGTGGTCAATGAAGTTACATTGTTCATCTGTGGAAAGTCTGGGAACCTTGCTGATTTCAAAAACAATAGGAAGGTTGGATACTTGTAAGAAATCTTTCCCCCAAATCTATACAACCTCCTGTTTCAGTGCAAGATGGCTTCAGTAGGTGTCCTTTAGAGATCGGGCACAAGCACCTATTTAAACAAAACAAAACAAAAACAAAAACAATACACACTGAATCATACTTTTTTCAGTCACAAGAAATAGTTAAAAATTTTTAGCAGTTAATTATTAATTGTATATATTCCACAAGTATCCCAAGGTCAGATGAAAACTTGGAAAATTAAACAGAGTTTAGAGCTTGCTTATGTGATTCTTAAGAGAAAATAAGGAATATACCAGGCGATTGAATGGTCTGTGTCTCATTCCTTAGAACTGATGAAAAATAATATGCATCTGTCCACCACATTTAGGCTGACCCACCCCTGCTCACAAACCTTCAGTGGTTCCAGATCAAAGCCAAAGTCCTTTCAGTAGTTGCCATGTTCCTGCCAACCCTCTAAACTCATGTCCGCTTTTCCCTCCCTCGCTCACCCTGCTATGTATGCCATGCTGACCTCGCCTCTCCTTAGCCCTGCCCATCATGCTCCTGCCTCAGGGCCTTTGTCCCTCATTTCCTCTGCCTGGAGCATTTTAGCTCAGATTCTGGGAAATGACTGATTGGTTTAAGGCTGGGTAAAGACCACACTTCAGCTCCCATGTAATAGTCCACGATGTTACACTGACTGCATACATTAACTTGCAGTGTGTGAGCGTCAGCAAAGGGTTGTGTGGCAGCCATCTGTCTGGTAGGCAGGGCAACGATGCTCTGTGATAGGGGCTTTTTATGGCCGTCTTGACCTGTGGCTGTCCTCGTTCTCTCTCCCCCACACCAGTCCTCATTCTGCTGCTTCTGCTGTTTGTTCGGAGGAGAGGGGTGGTCAAAGAGCCCTTACTACCCCCAGAAGATGACACCCGGGACAACGTTTACTACTATGATGAAGAAGGAGGTGGAGAAGAGGATCAGGTACATTTTTAAAACCGCGATAAAAAGCTAAATGGAGATCTCTGTATTTGGAAGATGCAATGGTTACGAGAAGGTAGACCTTTGAAATAGTATTGTTCTGTTCAGCACCCAGATGAATGAACGGAGGCAAAGGGTGGGTAAGTGACTTGCCCGTAGTCACAGAGGTAGGAAGCAGGAGGACCAGGTAGTTTGACTCCGGAGCCTAGTCTTCTCATTGCTGTTCTCAGGCCACAAACGTCAAATTATTGTTGCCATAAAGCAACTACTCTATTGTAATATTTTGTTTCCCTGGAGCTTATAGGTATGCTAAAATTCTTTTCTTCCTTTTTGTACATGTTAAATCTTTAGGCCTTCTTTATTTTCCTTTATTTTGAATACGGGTCTTGCCTTAGCCTAGAGTTTTCTGGAGACTTTTTTTTTTTTTTTTTTTTTTTAAAGTAATCTCTGTGCCCAGCATGGGGCTCAAACTCATGATCCTAAGATCAGGAGTTGGATCCTCTACTGACTGGGCCGGCCAGGAGTCTTTTGGAGAATTTTGAAAGTGTATTCCATCTAGAAAGGGAACCCCAGGCCCCCTACAGAGTTGTGCTTTGACTCTGGCCATACATGAGCATCTTTGCTGAGCTCTCTGGTCTGGAAGAACAGCCATTCATTAGAAATTCAATTCCCGGGTGCCTGGGTGGCTCAATTGGTTAAGCGACTGCCTTAGGCTCAGGTCATGATCCTTGAGTCCCAGGATTGAGTCCCGTATTGGGCTCCCTGCTTGGCAGGGAGTCTGCTTCTCCCTCTGACCCTCCCCCTTCTCATGCTCGCTCGCTCGCTCTCTCTCTCAAATAAATAAAATCTTGAAAAAAAAAAAATCAATTCCTGCTTTGTAGAACATACTAGTGAGTACAGAGAAATGTTCTTCAGACATTTGTGGGATGACTGCTTATCTCAGCTAGTCCGGGTGGGTTGCTAGACAAGATGCCACAGACAGGTTGCTGAAAAACCACAGAAATTTTCTTTCTCATGGTTCTGGAGGCTGGGATGTCTAAGATCGAGGCACCAGCAGATTTGGTGTTCGGTGGGGTCCCGCTTCCCGGCTCACAGTCATACATAATCTCACATGTACTCAACGTCGCAGATGGGGAACTCTAGAGTATCTTTTATTATCCGGGCGCTAATCCTGTTCCCAAGGGCTCCATCTACCCTCCCGACCTGATCACCTCCCAAAAGTTGCCCCTCCAGATACCACCACATTGGGGATTAGGTTTCAGTGTGTGGATTTGGCAACGGACGGTCAGTCTAGGGCAGCAAGGCTCTCCAGAACCTGTAGATCGCCTGGGACTTAGTAAGGTACAGCAGTCTACATCCAGGCCCCCAGTTGTTCCTCACAATTCTTTCATGGTGTTTTTTTCTTCTGGTGCTATGTTGGAAACTCTTGGGTTGAAAACTGTCATTTCGGATTACATTGACACATGCTTACAACTGTCATGCATTTGAAAGAGCATTATCTGATAACGGACTCTGTAATCCAAATATAGCCCTGGGTTTGTGTGACCTTTTTTCTTTTTTTTAATACTCTTTGCTCTATTTTTACCTTTTCCTCCAAAGGACTTTGACTTGAGCCAGTTGCACAGGGGCCTGGAAGCTCGGCCGGAAGTAACTCGCAATGATGTGGCGCCAACCCTCCTGAGTGTGCCCCATTACCTGCCCCGCCCTGCCAATCCTGATGAAATTGGAAACTTTATTGATGAAGTAAGTTAGCAAAGTCAAACGCCAAGGTGCAGCTTGTCTCTAAACTCAGGCACAGCTGAGTTGAAAGTGAGGAAAATGTCTTTAGATTCTTTCCTTTACCACGTTTTCTCCTTGCCTGATCCCTGAATGCTATTTTTTGTGTCTCATCTGAATTTCAGAACTAAAAGCACTTCAGACCGTTCATAGTGAATTTGCAGTATCCATATGGCGAAACTGAGAATTGCTTGTAAGGATTTAGTAGAAGTAGAAATGAAACTAAAAGAGATTCAGAAGAGATCCAGTTTGGTTTCACTAATAGGCCTTTTTGTCCCTGCATCCCACTGCTGGTTGAGTGATATTAAATGTGTATCACAGGTCTGCCTAAGGGCCAGAAATAGAGCAGCAGTTTCTGCATGTCAAAAATTCATTCAGCTATGAATTCCAGAAGCTTAGACTGCTATGAGGAGATTAACCTCATAAATCCTTGTTCTCATGTTTGCTGTCACGTGATCACAAGATGGCTGCCACACTTCCAGGCCTTGGGTCTGTATTCCAGTCAAGAAGAAGTAGGAAGGGCTGAGCAGAGGCCAGAAATCTTTGTTCTGAACAACGATTAATGCAAGTACGGGAGTTCATCCTATAGGTTACTGGCCAGAACTGTCCGAGATGGTCCTTTTCTGCATGGGAGAATGAGAAATAAGGCATTAAGTTTAATTAGCTTAGGGTAAGATGAGGACAAATTGGTGGTCGGGATGAGCAAAGAATCAAGTAAGATAATAGTTTGGCAGGATCTGTTTCCTTAAACTATGTTACTTGATCCCTTGCTCAATTACTGCAGTAATTTTCAGGGCTTGTCTGATGGTTCAGTGGCCTTCGGCGAGTCTTTGTGGTAGAGGCTGGTTTTGCTTTAGTTGCTCTGGGAGTCCTCACCAGGTACTACATAAAACCAGCAGTGCTGGAAGTGACCAGGCTGGATCTTCTAGGAAGCTGGGAATGGGAAGGGCCAGTTAAAACCTCCCTCTTCGATAAATATGAATCCAGGTGCTTTCCTCCATTAACATTCATTGTGTGTCATCACAGCTGATGGATGGTAGTTTCCTTTTTTTCTTAATTACCAAAATAGTGTTTGCTACCTAGAATAAAATAATAAACGTTGAAAATGTATATAAAGAAAACATAATACAAGTCTTTCCTTACTGCCCCCAACTCTCCAGAGTTAACAGTTTGGCATTTATCCTTCCAGACCTTTCCAGGTAGAAATGCTATATGGACCAGTGCGACTGTCCTCATTGTTTTCAGCTTCTGTCTGTCCTGACTGGCTGGTTTCTCTCCTGTCTACGTAAAATTTATCATTAGTTTAGGGGAAAACATTTTGCATCTTTACCCATGATGTTCTCTTTTCATCAACTGTGTATTGTCTGTCTTCCTTGCCAGTTTGTATGCATTTATGTTACTGGTGCTGACTGCCCCTGGTGTTCTGTAGGATGGCTGTGTTATCGTGCATTACGCGTTGAGTCACCTAGAGAAGGCATCTTGCCTGACAGGTGTGTGATTCTTCTCACTGAAAGAGCCTACCATCTTCCTTCTTCTTTAGAACCTGAAGGCAGCAGACACTGACCCCACTGCTCCTCCTTACGACTCTCTGCTGGTGTTTGACTATGAAGGGAGTGGTTCCGAAGCTGCTAGTCTGAGCTCCTTGAACTCCTCAGAGTCAGACCAAGACCAGGACTATGACTACCTGAACGAATGGGGCAATCGCTTCAAGAAGCTGGCGGACATGTACGGAGGTGGCGAGGACGACTAGGGGACTTGAGACAAATGGGGAAGGAGATGGGTCCTTAAGCCATGTGGTAGAAAATGCAGGGGTAATGGTTTTCCACCGCCCTTCACTTGAGATGAGTTTCCGGGGAAGAGAGACTGCTCAGTGATGCAGTTAGAATAGTTAGGATTACCACTTTATAGATCTAATCTGTGTGTGTTAGAATGATTTTGACTTCTTACTTGAAGCTTTTTTTCTTTCATCGTTCTTTAAATGGTGATGCTGTCCAATAGACCCCCCCCCACATGTGTAATATTTCATAAGAATAGCTTCAGTCTCCAGAAGATTGTGTTAGCAACTTGCAGATTTCCTTACAGGCTTTTGTCTCATTTTTTTAGAGGAAGGGAAGACTCACCTGCCCTATTTTGTGTGTATGTGTATGTATATATGTATAATTATTTTTAATCTGTGTTCTTTTTTTCTCCTATCACTGCACTGGTGTTCCCTGTTGTAACACCCACTCTTACTCCTCCTGAACTTCTATTGCCCCAGACAAGAGTTCTCTGTTGGAGAAATTGTTGGGCCCTTTCAGGGTAGGAGACTTGGTCTTAGTCTGGCCATAGTGTGACTGAGTATCATGGACTCATAAGACCTTTAATGGATCTCCTTTTTAATTTCTTAAGTACATAACTTGAAATTGGTGTCCATCCACTTACTTATTCTGCGTAAGTATGTTTGTTATGTGTATGTCCTTATGGAGGTACTTTGGTTCTCAACAGGGAGCACTGAGCAGAAAAGGTGATGAGTTTTCAGGCACCACTCAACTTCTAATGTTCATTTGTCACTCAAAAGAGTGATCTATTTTGACATTTAAGATAGTGCCCAAGTGCCGCAGCCAAAGGCAGAAGGAGGTTTGTCACAGCTGAGGGCAACATGAGAAACGGGCTTGGAGGTGGCAGGAGAGATGTGTCATTGATCCTGGCAATTTAGCAAACTGAGACTGTGAATGATTGAGGTGGCTCTACCTCTGTTCTGAAAATTCTGAAGAATGGAAGAACGTCAGCATGTGTGTCCTATCAGGATCCTCATGCCAGAGTTTATACCTGAAACCTAGAATCCCCAAGTGCCTGCTTTTGTTGATGTCTACAGAAAATGCTGGCTCATCTGGACACATCTGCCCCAAATTCCAAGTGTGTGTAGAAAACCAAGAATATTTAGGAAATCCAATTTTTTCCCCTGAGGAACAGAAAGAAAATGTGCCCTGAAGGGTGTTAGCATGGGGAGGATGGGGAGAACTTTGATTTGGATCTTCTTTTAATTGAAATGCAAACTTCAAGAAACTTTTGACAACCACGAAGAACAATTTTATCTGAATTGCTTTACTGTCTGTCAGCTGTTTTTCAAAGGGAAAAAAAAAATCATCCTTGCAATCACTTGGAATTCTCTTGATTTTTCAGCAATTTAAACTCCAATGTAGACCTGTGTAGAGAATGCTACTACAGTTTTGAGTGTATATGTGTGTGGGTATGGATAATTTTTGTATTTTCTTTTGGGGTGGAAAAGGAAAACAACTTAGGCTGAGGAAATTCTTCAATATTCATTTTTATAAATTTTATTAAAGAATTTTGTTAAACCATTGTCAAACACTTGTTTTATTTCATTACACCACAGTTCCAGGCAAGACCAGGGGTCGTTGAGTCCCCTGAAAACGTGGAGGAGTCTTCATGTTGAAATGACTCCTTCAGAGCTCGGTGTCATTCTGTTGTGGGCAGAGTGCGGGGAACTGCATTCAGAATGTCACTTTATTTGAAGACTGTCTATCCATGTGGTATGTGGAGAAACATTTAAAATTCTCTTGTCAATGGAAAAACTGGGAACGGAGCTGAGGGAGCTCCGCGGAGCTTCAGACAACATCCAGTTGATCAGCAAAGATTGTATAGTCCGGTGTCCGCCAGCAGGGAAGACTCTGGCCCCCTCCCCCAGGGACATGGGGCAATTTCTGTAGCTACTTTGATGGTGGTGACTGAGGAGGTGCTACTGGCATCAAGTCAAGGCCAGAGATGCTGCCTGATAACCTGGCAACACATGGACAGCCACATAGAGCAGAGACCGGCAGGGTCAAAATGTCAATGGTGCTTCTGTTGAAAAACCCTGTTGTGTGACTTTCTCCTGCGGGAGGGGTAGAATTGTGTGTGTGTGTGTGTGTGTGTGTGTGTGTGTGTATACACTTTTTTTTTTTTTTAAGTGGTGGTGAATTATATAGATCTTCCTCAACTTGGATGTGGCTACCTGCCAATAAACCATTGTAAGTTGAGAATATGTCAAAAATGCATATAATACGCCTAATCCACCAGACATGATAGCTGAGCCTAACCCACTTTCAGTGTGCTCAGAACACTTACTTCAGTTGAGTAAGATCATCTCGCACAAAACCTACTTTTCTTTCAAGATTTTATTTATTTATTTGATCACAAGTAGGCAGAGAGGCAGGCAGAGAGAGGGAAAAGCAGGCTCCCCACTGAGCAGAGAGCCCGATGTGGGGCTCAATCCCAGGATCCTGAGATCATGACCTGTGCCCGAAGACAGAGGCTTAACCCACTGAGCCACCTAGGTGCCCCAAAACCTATTTTATTTTACCATAAGTGTTGAATAACTAGTGTGATTTATAGAATATGGACAGTGAGAAACTGAATGGTTTTAAGTGTGTTGGTTGTGTACTTTACTGATCACAGGACCGACAGGCTGTGGCTGCCACTGCCCAGCATCATTAGAGAGCCGACCGTATCTCACTAGCCCAGGAAAACATCAAAATTTGAAGTATAGTTTGTACAGAATGTGTTACTTTCAAGGATACAGTTCAGTGATACTAAGTACATTCAAAATGTATGACCATCACCTCTGTTACCATCACCTCTGTTCCCAGTACCTCTGCATCAACCCAAACAAATTCTATAACTGGACAATAACTCCCTGTTACTCCCCTCCCAGCCCCCCGCGCCTTCTGTTCTGCTTGCTGTCCTCATGAATTTGACTCTGCTCGGTGTTTCATGTAAGAGGTGTCATGTGATACATGTACTTTTAAAATTGGCTTGTTTCACCTGGCCTTAAGGTTCCCAGGGTCACCTGTATTACAGCACCTGTCAGGACTGCATATTTCATTATGCGTATATATGCCTCGTGTTACGGACCCACGTGTCTTGGGTGGTTTCTACCTTGTGGCTGTTGTGAGTGCTGCTGCAGTGAACACTAGCATATGAAAACTCTTCGATTCTGGCTATCTGCAAGGTTATATTGGAAATTCTATGTATAGTTGGAGAAGCTGCCAATGAATAGTCGTAGATTCGGTCCAGGAGTGAAAATTTAAAATCCATAAAAGACTTCTTTATTTTAAATGGGTCAAAAAAAAATTTTTTTTTAAGATTTTTATTTGAGAGAGAGCAAGCGTGAGCAGGGGGAGGGGCAGAGGAAGAAGAAGCAGACTCCCCGCTGAGCAGGGACCCTGATGTGATGTTGGGCTTGATCCCAGAACCCTGGGGATCATGACCTGAGCCAAAGACAGATGCTTAACTGACTGAGCTACCCAGGTGCCCCAGAAATTGGGCACATTTTAATACGGAGCTTGGAGTAGATGATATTCCTGAATAAATACAAATTTTCTTGGGGACATAGCTTACTAGGAGAACCTTATTTGAAGATAAATGATGAATTTAGAGATAAAGTGTTGTGACATCTGGAAATTAATGGTTCAACAAAAAAGTATGTCAGGAGTGGTAGCACAAAGGCAAGTGTGATGAAATGTTCATGACGACTGAATCAGCTGAAGGGCATTAAATCAGGTGAAGGGTATGCAAGTGTTCATGTACTAGCCTTTTGATTTTTTTTCTCAAGTTTGAAGTATTTCAAAACTGAAAGTTGGAGAGAAATAAGGAAGCCAGTAATAAACCCTTGCATAGATAGTCAAATGATACTCTACAAGGGTGCTAAGACGACTTAGTGATTTGGCAAGTTTATGCATTATGCTATGTTCCCCACAAGTGTAGCTGCCGTCTGTCCTGTTCTATTGCTATTTTGGTATCACCGTTTTCCTCATGCTCTGCTAAAGGACAGTGTTTTTTGTTTTTTCAAAGATTTTATTTATTTGTTTCATACCACAAGCAGGCAGAGCTGGCAGGCAGAGGGAGAGGAGAAGCAGGCACCCCTCTGAGCAGAGAGCTGGATGCCGGGCTTGATTCCAGAACCCTGGGATCATGCCCTGAGCGGAAGGCAGACGCTTAACCAGCTGAGCCCCCCAGGCCCCCCAGGACAGCATTTTCAACAAATAGTGCTGGAAACATTGGTTGTCCACATGCAAAAGAATGAAATTAGATGTATTGTTACACCATATATAAGAAACAAACTCAAAATGGATCAAAGACCCAAAATGTACGGGATAAACCTACAAAACCCTCAAGAAAATAGACCTCATGACGCCGGGTTTGGCATTATGTTGTACTTATAATTAAAAGCATGAGCGGTGCCTGAGTGGCTCAGCAGTTAAGTATTTCCCGCGCAGGTCATGATCCCAGTGTCTTGGATTGAACCCCACGTTGGGCTCCCTGCTCTGTGGGAAGCCTGCTTCTCCCTCTCCCCCTGCTTGTGTTCTCTCTCTCGCTGTCTCTGCCAAATAAAATCCTAAAAAAGGGAAAAGCAAAATACCATGAGGTCAAATAAAATGGTTCTATAGAAAATAAACTGTTTACAAAGTACCTACTACATGCAGAGGGTTACACCAGTCACACCAGTGACTGGTGAGAGGCAACAGAGAAAGTGGTTTGAGCCTGTTTTCCTCTTGGTAATTCTGGCGAGGTCTGATGAGGTCTGACAAGATCTGACGCCGTGACGTATGACGAGGTCTGGCGAACTCTGTCTAAGGAGGTAGTCTTTGGAGAAAACACATTCCCCCCGGAGCTTGAGTTCGAATCCTGATTCTGACCTTTCCACCTGTGGGCTTAGGTAAGCTACTTGATCTTTCTCTACCTCCGTTTCCGTATCTCCACAGGGAGAACTGTACCTACTTCATAGGGTGATTGTGGGCTCTTGAGTTGGTACGCATAAAGCATTCAGAAGAGGGCCTGGCGCACGGCGTTGTTCTCTTAAATGTGAGCTCGTTTTTATTATTGAATAAGGGGCACAGCGAGGGAGTTTGCAGTGGAGAGAATCACTTAAGCAAACGCAGGGTATTAGGAGAGTAAAGGCCAAGTGTTCTGTTTTGGGCTGGATTTAGTGGGTCGGACAGAACCACTGAAGTGTTGTGATTAGGACAACTATGTGACCCAGAGTGGCGTTCTGTGAAGATGCGTCCGTTTGCAGGACTGAGGAGTTGGCCTTGGCGGGGGAGTGGGGGGAGGTGGGGGGGGAACCTTGAGACAATAAAAAGCCTCTGGCCGTTGAAATAAGAACAAAGGGATCCAGGATAGAGCACTGTAAAGAGGATTTTTTTTTTCTGGACTCCCCTTATCTGCCTAAAAGCAGAGTGTCCTGAACAAATTCATCAGGGAGTTTCATAAGCAGGGAGGTTTGAGTCCTACTACCGGAGATAAGAAATTGGCACCCCAGGAAAAGAAATCACCTCAACAGGGGCGCCTGGGTGGCTCAGTGGGTTGAGGGTCTGACTCAATTTTGGCTCAAGTCATGATCTCGGGGTCCTGAGATTGAGCCCTGTGTTGCCCCCAACCCCTGCTCAGCATGGAGTCTACTTCAGATATGCTGCGCTCTCTCCCCTCTGTCCCCACACCCCTGCTCGTGTGTGTGAGGTCTCTCTTTCAAAAACAATCACCTAAACAGATATTGCCACAAAAATCCTATTTCCCATCTCATTCATCTTTTCTTAAAATCATTTGTTTGCCCACACACACCCTTTCTCTAGTAATATGGAGTATAAACCCCATATTCTGACCGCCCCTTGGAGTTACATTTTTCTGTGAGCTCCCTTGGATGTGAATAAAAACCTGTCTTTTCTCTCTCTAATGTCTTTTGTCAGTTTAATTCCCAGGCCTCCCTACTGAGAAGCCAAGAGGACAGAGATAAGTTCTTCCTCTCCCATAAATATCTGATGGATACTTAAGAGTGGTAATACAGAGAAAAAATCATTCCTTTAAAATAGATGAAAATTGTGGTGCCTGGCTGGCTCAGCCTGTAGGGCATGAGAATTTTGATCTTAGGGTTGTAAGTTCAAGCCCCATGTTGGGTGTAGAGAGTACTTAAAATCTTAAATTTTTAAAAATGCCCTAAAAATAAAGTAAGTGAAAAATTAATGAGCTTCGGGAACCTTCTTTGTGGAGCCATGAGAATGATCACAGTGAGTAAAGTTTTGACAAGGGTAGGCTAAGAGTTTAGGGGTGAGTTAGAGAAAATGGGATGCAGCCACTCCAATTCTTCCATGGCTTCAGAAGATAAGTACCCATATGAACTTTCAATTTGCTGGGGTCTTTACTGGGAATTATGTTTCTGTCAAACGGCCACTGATAAGTGTTGAGTGCCATTAGACTTGTTGGTTCTCTGGATTGAGGCAAGCAGACCCCAGTCAGCTTGGGTAAGATGTTTAACTGCTGTCCCTCAAGTCCCTGATAATGGGCTTCATGTTGGTCAACTTCAAATGA